TATTTGGAAGTGTTTGCCCTTTATACCTTTTGATTCAGGATCTGTTCAATTGCCAAAGTATCTATCTTTCTGTGCTTTCTACACACTCAGGAAACAAAATAGGAGTCTCTTTCTGTAGAGCCTGACCTAGTGTGCTTGGAGGTTAAGTACAAACCATTCCTGTAGGAAGTGCTCTTGGTTTTAGTTAACTGCTACGAACATATTATTACCCAGCAGTAAGGCTGTGTCTGTACTTCTTTTGTAAATCAGAAGTAATTTCAGGGCTGTTTAGACATTTTTCTACGCCCTACCAAGTTTGCCACGCACTGAAATGCCCTCTAGGAAAGTGACCTTCTCAGTAAGAAACTGGATCTTATAGGTATCAAATGACTTTAAAAGATCTTTCAGCAGTTTGGTCAGGATAACATTAATAACTCAGCCCACAGGAGAATATTATGTACCAAAGCCTATGTGAATTTGATGAATGTGGACTATAAAGAAACTGATGTACCCCCAACATTGTTCACCAAACAGAAAATGAATGAATTCCAACCAACTACATCTGCAGAACCACAAGCTGTCACATGGAAAGACTCCTCAGCTCCCTTAAAAAGTTGCAATTCGGTATTTAGCACAACAAAGATGCTCTCAGCATCTTCACAGCCTAGAACTACTCAAACTTTTAAGAAATTTGTTCTGTTACGCTCTTTTGTCATATCCACAGCAGCTACAAATACAGTACAATTGAAACATATCAAGGAATTTTTATTCAAATACATATATATAGTATATTGAACTGAAAAATACGTACATACAGCACTTTGAAACCATCCAGAGAACTTAAATTTGACATAGTTTACAGCTCTGGAAAAAGGAATTTTGTTTTACTGTAATCAGCACTTTTATTTGAAATATAAGTCACACCTTCTAAATATATACTCATAAGTCACCTCAAAACCCTATGTATTTAGGAATTACAATGCCCTATCATTAGTTGTTCTAAGCTGCTAAAAGACTAATGGAATGCCAAGTCAGCAATTCAACCAGTACAAGCTATATGTTTTATAGTTAAGGCTGCCATAGCAATGTCTTGTACAAAAATCTCCTGCATAAAACTGCCCATAGAACCCACCAGTTTCTAAAAATGAGGCTGTGTTGTACAAATATCTATAGACGTATAACAGATAAAACTATCTGATGATAAAACTTCAAGCTTTGATGGAAGAAAAAATCTTAAAGATCCATCAGAGCCTCACACATCTACATTTTACCCTCTCAGCATGGATTAGCAAAACACCCTTTTATGCTGTAAATGGGAACTTTTCTAAAACATCAATTGCCTTACACAGGCCAGCAGTGCAGATTTGAGTCTTAAAAAAATACATGGAAATGTCACAACCTATAGTATACTTTTTAGTAGGAATAAACAGAATATTTTTCTAATAGAAAGTTACTGCAAAGAAAGACAGTTTTTGCTCTATCCCCACCTTATGGCTAGAAAATGAATATTCTTATTAGACCATACATGTTCCTGAATAATTTTTCCTTTACTTTATCACTATGGCCAGAGAATATTTATTGTTTGTATTATGCAACATAAGACTTTTTTTAACAAACATGCACTCCTCCACATACAAGCACAATGAAACTCCAAGGCACAATTGTCCTTTCTAGCACCTGTATGAATCAGAACAGCAGACTTATGATCCAACGCAACTTCAGATGCCAACAGTGATTATTTGGGCCCTGACCCACGAAAGTACAGAAGTACTTATATTCCTGTTGAGACTCCATTAGGAGTTAAACAGCTAGATCTCTCCACAGATCTAACCTTCCCTGATATACTGGTCTTAATATCCACACTTTTTAAATAATCAGGTGATAAAAATACATGCCCTACAAATTAAAAGTATGCATGAATCTAGTTTTAAAGCTTTCATAGCTATCTTCTCTCTTTGCTTATCTTGCAAGCAAAGTAATGTGGACAGGAGAACTTGAATAGTGCCTGCTCCTCACAAGACTCAAATCTGCAACCAGCAGATCCTCTTTCATCAGTCACTCCACACATGAAACAAAAATAAAAGCAGCAACACCCACAAGGGAAAGCTCTCTCTTCCCTTATAGTCACCTGCTTATCAATAAATACTTTTCTTTTGTGCCTTGTGGCACCACTCACTGGCTCAAGGACTAACATTATCTATATGAAAAACTGAAAACTAAGACAGGGGCCACCAGAAGTACTTTTGACAAATTCTTCTGTTTCTTAATTGTGATTTTTTCCCCTTTCATTAATTGGTCACAGTGAAAGGGCAGGGTAGGGCATGAAACAGAACAGTGGGAAAGGTGCAAACAGAACAAAGAGAAAGGAAAAACTATATGTGTTACCATGCCTTTAATATTTTGGCCTTCTATCCTGCTTTCCTGAGAAAATGTAGAGTCATAATCATATTGTCCAAGCACCTCTCCGTCCCAAAATCTCCTGAATCTTGCCTTTAAAACCAGAATCAATGGTTTCTATACACTAAATTTCTCAAGGTTTCATGGAAACAGCTGAGTAGAAGAGACATCTTACTAAAGTGTCAGGATGACTCTTTTCCACAGTAATCCGTGCCTTTTTCCTCCTAACAGCAGAGAAACAACAGAGGAATTCAAATAAAATAACTTCATTAAGCCTTCTCTCCCACTGATCTAGTTTAAAAAGACATTTTCTAGAACCACATGCCTTGATGTTTTGTCACTAGATTCAATAACAGAAAATAGATTATTAGTATATTCTCCAAGGTTATACTAATTGGAAGTGTTTGTGTGTGTTGAGATAACACTGTTTCGAGTTTTGATTTTAAAAATCTGGTAAGGAGTACTGAGTAGAGAAGAGACCCTAACTATATACATGAAAGAGTACAGAAGAGCTGCCAAATACAAATATAATTAGCCTTAAAGTGAACATTCAAGAAGACACTAGAAAAATATAATAGTATTGCATATTTCCCATTGCTTAACCACACTACATCAACCACATTACTTCTCAGTAGAATTTATATGAAGTTCAAGAGAGAAACCTGAATACCTACCAAGCTAGTTAACCTGCCTGCTTCAGCAATTACAAAACATTCACAAAGTACTGGCAATCTAGTGGCGGGACATATTCTGATTCAAACTTCTCAGGGCTTTCAGAAAAGTCCCTCTCCTTGTGAGAAAAAAAAAGGGTGAGGTGGACACCTTCTTAACCATGAATACAAGCCACAAGCACTGTGTAAAATACATAAAAAGCAAGCTGGTGGCTGGTTTTAAGCCTTCCTTGCATCCCCCAATAGTGACTGATTATCCACCTACCACATGAGAATGAGAACACTCTGCTAAGCTCAGGTTGGATCTCACTCCTAGGCAAATCAAAAAAGAAACAGTTAAAGTGAACATAAAAACAAGATCCAAAAGAAGCTAAAACAAACATCTGTACAATGAGGAAAGGCATATGCTTGTACAAGATTATAGGAACATATTTCAGGGAGAAATTAAGACAAAACATTTCTTACAAAGGAAAATCCAATGTTGCAATAGAATTGTTAAAATGAAATCATGGACAGTAATTGCAAAGAAAAATATGAATACTTAGTCAGATCTCCCTTATTCTTGGGAATGTACTTGAGATTATTAAATCCAAATATCCTCTTTACATGTATATTCTTGGCTTTCTTTGTGGATTCCAAGGGGAGTAAGAGAAGAAAATCCAGAATAAGGAATCTAGTCAACCTGACAAGCAGCAGGTTAACTAAGCCCTACGAGTTAAGTAAAGCAGAAGAGTCATCCTTCCTTTCTACATAATGGAGAAGGATGCCTTTTACAGGTTGCACAAAATTTTTAAAATATGTGGACATGATATGAAATCTGAAATTCTGGCATTGCTCTGGCTTCCTTAGACTAGAAAAATATTTATAAAATACAATTCCTTTTTGCTTAGTTTCTACAACATACTCAGTAACATTTTAAACAAAATTAGACTACTCAATATATGTTTTTTTAAATTCTTTATTTTAGCAACAGCTCAGCATGCATGAGGCATCAGCTGACATATATTCCACAAAACTGTATTATCAGTTCAAACTGTGAGATTCAACTATATCTTTATTAAAATATTTATTAAGCAAAGTGTTCAAGTGGTTAAAGTATCATATTAGGAATAGATTAGGACTTGAATTTTTAAAAAGGTATTTTTATATCATGTACATTTCCAGACTTATGAGAAGATAGGATGACACTCAGAAGGGGGGAGGAGGGAAGTAGCTTGGCAGTCATGTTCAGTTAGCTTCACTATTTGTACAGGATCTAACTTCAAAAACATCAGCTGTGCCAGGTCTTTTCCACAGTGTGCATCTATCCACACCACCTGAATCAGAGACCACCAACTTGTCTCACATACCACATCAAACAATAAGCCAGCTTAACAGTTCAGAGCATGATTTAGAAAGACAAAATATGTATTCTTTCCTCAGAACATGCAAGTTTGAGCCCACTTTTCAATGGAACGTAAAAAATATTGAGTCCTTTATAAATACATTTCAGGCAAGGTATTTAATATATTACTATATACATCGATTGTTTTGAAAGCCCAGTTTTGTTTAGCAAGTAAATCTGCTTTGATCTGCATAATCTATAATGGATGTAGTGAAGCCTGCATTTTTATTACTGTTCTCATTTAAAAGTTTCACACTAATAAAAACCAACACATTGTACCTGAAGAGTGACTATAGTATACACACATTTCTCCATATTTATAGAGAAAATAGGTTACATTGAAAGTCATAAATAACAAGTGACACACATTGTACAATTATGCACGAAGTACATGAAAACTCATATTGTAATTTTTTATTTTTCTTTTAAGAAACATCAAGATACTGGAAGTCAGGCAATAGACATCAATAAAACTAAATACTTCCACAAGTGAAAAGCTGGCTCAGAGGTTCTCACATTAGAAAGAAAACACAGAAAAAACACGCTTTGAAATTCCAGTGGTCTCTTTTCTAGCCTCTGCTTTTCTTTAAAATAACCTGCAAAAAGAAAAAAAGTATATTTATCACTGCTTTTATCACTACAATCCAGGCAGCAATAAGAGATCCAAAACACTAAGCTACCCAGAAGAAAGGTTCACCTAGCCAAACAATCAGTTTCCAAGAGTAGAGTCACCAAGGGTAGAAGTCTAGGAAAAAGGTTAGAAATAAGCAAAAGCATACAGAAAAATGTCATTTCAGAAAGTATTTTTATTTTAAATAAGAATATTCATCACCAGGAATTCTGTAAAATAAAAGGGTTATTTTAAAAATGAATGCTGAAAATGGTAATAGTGCTCTCAAGCCCTCAGCAGAGCCCTTGAGGCTTCTACCCCATTAGGCCTTGATAAAAAGAAAAAAAAAAAAAGATTTGCAATTATACAGATACTATGCTCAGTTTTCGTCTCTAATGCCTTATTTCTTTCTATATCAAGAGTGCCCAGACCCTTGGAAGGACGTTTTTTGGTTTGGAATTTAAGTTGAAAAATGAACTTCAAAGCTCAAGTGGAACCATTAAGTGTTAAAATTATTAAAATACAGGCAGCTTTTCCTTTCTTGTCATCTTAAAAAAAAATAAAATAATACAGGACAAAAATGTTCAAATAATGTTAAGATTACCGTTAAAAAGAAATTACAAGTGCATAAGACTCCAACTGTAACATTCACTTGGCTACCTACACATCCTGTATATATTTCTGTTACTATAGTAATACAAAGTATCAAGCTAAACAGTTCACTAGAGCAAAAAAGCCACTGAAGGACCCAAATGGCATATAACACTGAGTTTTGTTCTTCCAATTTGCCCAGCAGTAGTAGGTGGTTCAACAGATAACAAATTGAAGAGATTTGAGTTCTTTCATGAAACCTAGGTAAAGCAGACACATCCTAGCAAGTGACATGACCTACAGAATAAAAAAGGATTTCAGTCATATTTGGCACTACTCCAATTCTTTCTAGAGAGAAAGCTACATAACACCTTCCTCTTTCCATTCTTTTGCATGTATAAAAAA